GCTTTCTACATATGGCTAGCCAGTTTTCCCAGCACCATTTATAAAATAGGGAATCCTTTCCCCATTTCTTATTTTTGTCAGGTTTGTCAAAGATGAGACAGTTGTAGATGTGTGGTATTATTTCTGAGGGCTCTGTTCTGTTTCAATGGTCTCTATCTCTGTTTTGGTACCACTACCATGTTGTTTTGCTTACTGTAGCCTTGTAGTATAGTTTGAATGAACAAGTTTATCTCATGTTGGGTAAAAATAATTAACTATTCCATAAGATCTGTCTTTGGCCTGTAATCCTTTTATGTGCAGTCTAACCATTAACAGTTCAGAAACTATAAGTGAGAAGTAACATTACGACAGCAAGGCTCCTGCAGACACGCACGAGAAAAGCACAGGCATCAGCCGGGCATGGGGCCTCACACCTGTAATCCCAGCACCTTGGGAGGCCAAGGCAGGCGGATCACATGAGGTTGGGAGTTTGAGACCAGCCTGACCAACATGGACAAACCCCATCTCTACTAAAAATACAAAATTAGCTGGGTGTGGTGGCACATGTCTGTAGTCCCAGCTACTCAGGAGGCTGAGGCAGGAGAACTGCTTGAACCTGGGAGGCAGAGGTTGCGGTGAGCAGAGATCACGCCATTGCATTCCAGCCTGGGCAACAAGAATGAAACTCCATCTCAAAAAAAAAAAAAAGAGACAGACAGGAAGACAGAAAGACAGAAAGACAGACAGGAAGGGAGGAAGGGAGGAAGGGAAGAAGGAGGGAGGGAGGGAGGGAGGGAGGGAAGGAGGGAAGGAGGAGCACAGGCATCTCTCTAGAAATACGCCATTACTCATGGTTATAGCCATAAGAGTTAAGTGTCCCCAGATGCCAAACTTCCTTCAAAATTAAAAAAAATAAATAACAGCTCTTAAGTTAAAACTTGTGGAGGAAGAGGGTTAGATTATATGGTCTACTATGTTGTTCTTTTTAAAAACAGCATATACATAACATGGTTTTCCTATTAACAAGAAAGGGTAGCTTTGATGTCCCCACTTTTTTTTTTTTTTAAAGACAGGGTCTTGCTCTGTCACCCAAGTGGAGTGCAGTGGGGCAATCTCGGCTCATTACAGTCTCGACCTCCTGGGCTTAAGCCATCCTCCAGCCTTAACCTCCTGAGTAGCAGGGACCACAGGCATGTGCCATCACACCCAGTATATACATATTTATCTTTTGGTAGAGACGGGGTCTCATTATGTTGCCCAGGCTGGTCTCAAACTTTTGGGCTCAACTGATCCTTCTGCCTTGACCTCCCAAACGACTGGGATCATAAGCGTGAGACACCACGCCTAGCTGACTTTTAAAATATATGGAAAACGTACAATTTTCTAGGAAACATTTATTTATGCTGATGAACTACACAGACACGAACAATCCTTCTAATCAGGAACTTAAATTTGATTGTGAAATATATTATGGTCTTTTTCCAGGACCAATTTACCATCTGACATATGTTTTGCTTCGAAGCTTATTAAAATAAACCTGCTTTCTACTAGTATAAGAGAAGGAAGCACCAAACCTAGTTGGACAGCTGAGAGAAAGCCAATTTGGAATTAAAATGTTGCCAATATCTATCAGGGCTGAAAAACACCTCAATTAAACCCAACAAACAATTAGCACCTTTATTAACTAGAATTGACTTTACTCTGCTGGGATGAATACTCATTTATTAAAGTGGAAGGCCCTATGCCTTCAGTATGAATGCATGTGAAGCTACAGACTAAGGTGAGCTCCTGCTTCCCCCAAAGAAGGAAAAAAACACCTAAAGATATGTGTACAAAGGAACACACACCTATTCATAGGTAATACTCTAGTGGTGCTCAATTCAAACAAATCAAAAGGTATAAAGGATGCACAAGACAGACGTGCTTAATTTTCACACTTAGTTCAAGATGTGTACCAAGCCGGGCATGGTGGCTCACACCTGTAATCCCAGCACTTTGGTAGGCTGAGGCAGGTGGATACCTGAGGTCAGGAGCTCGAGACCAGCCTGGCCAACATGATGAAACCCTGTCTCTACTAAAAATATAAAAATTATCCGGGCGTAGTAGCGCGCCTATGGACCCAGCTACTTGGGAAGCTGAGGCACTAGAATCACTTGAACCCTGGAGGCAGAGGCTGCAGTGAAGCCGAGATTGCGCCGCTGCACTCCAGACTGGGCAACAGACAGAGAATCTGTTTCTAAAAAAGAAAAGATGTGTACTAAAAAGCCTGTTCTTCTGTAATCTAAGGATTATGACTAGAAACTTGGATTGTGTGTGGAGAAAAATGGGGATATCTAAAGATAAAGGTAAGGAAACCCCAGGGATATTTTTGTGTACTGAAACCAGTGCTCTCACCCGAATCCTTTGCTTCCCACTTCAAAAGCTCAGATAGAACTAAGTGAAGAAAATCAAGAAGACATGATAAATAAGTATATGAAAAGCCAAATCTACAGGACGGAAGGAATGTGCTTCCTAAACCTGCCATGAAAGAACTCCTATAGTTAAATCTGAAAGCTTCTGAGCAGTGTTTCCTAGATTCTCTCTGGCCTTCTATATTTTTACATTAAAGGCAGCTACTAAACAAATCAGATTTCAGGTGGTATTTAATCTTTCAGCAGTACAGCCTGCAGAAGGAGAAACCATTTACCCCTTAAATTCCAAAAATGAATATAGCTAAGAAACAGTAATTAGTTACATGAGGTCACCCAAGCCGCAGCGTGGAATGGTCAATTTCATCATAAAAAGCCATTTATCAGCACCAAAGATTATGTTCCACATGTTACTCATTACGGTTGTTGGCTGAAAGACCACAAGAGTTCCAACTGTATAAATGTTCAGTTTATGGGTCAACCACTAAGGTCAACACATCAGTGGTAAGTGCATTTCGGCTCTGTGCTGAGATGGTCAGTACTCTCTTCCCTAAAGAGAATCTTAAAATACCAGAGGTTAAAGCAACAGGAAGAGGCAGCTAAACACCAAACGGATCCTCACATCAGTTACCACCAAGAAAAAGCAGAGAAACTGGAATCAATCCAGACAGCTAATATGCTGTAGTGATTCACTTTTGAGTTCAGAAAGATTAATCCTTGTGGTCATGAGAGACTCACAAGAAGGTATCATCTGAAATATAAAAAGCCTCTGTGGACCATGTTTTAGGAGTCAACTAATCAAACATACCCCAACCCTACCTAGAGTACAGGAGGCTAATTTTTTCTGTAATGTTTGTACTTCTACCTTGAAAA